TGCATACATTCTTCCTAGTGGTTAATTGTTGTACAAGATGCGGACATGATATCCTATTTACAAACAATAGGACAGTTTTGATAATCAATACATTGTACACTGTTATCTTTTTAGTGGTTATCCATAGCACAAGTGCTTCAATTTTGATGATTCACATTTTTCCTAAAAAAAGTGTCCATTTTTCTTATACTGCTACAACTATCTGGCATAAGCTGAAGATTAAATTTCCTTTTCAGTGGTGCTAAGACCTTGTCCTGCTCTACCAAAGCACGCCCTCAGTCCTTTTTTTATTTTTATTTATTTATTTTTTATTTATTTATTTTGTGCGTGTGTGGCCAACTCAGCCCACCAGGGGGGCGGGCTGGCTGGCATGTGGTGCTGGGGGATTGAACCGCGGTCCCTGTGCTTTGCTTAGCTCAGCTTGTTCTAAGTAGGTGCTTTAGACCACTGAGCCATCTCACCAGCCCTCAGTCCCCTTTTTTAAAGTGTTAATTCATTAGTATCTACTTTCATCCTCAATGCCTTGGTCCTATACTCTTCTGGTTTCTTATCTTTCAGTCTCTTGATTTTGTCGTTTTGAGACAGGGTCTCGCTATGTAGCTCAGGCTGGCCTTGAGCTCACTTTATAACCCAGGTTGGCCTCAAACCCCCAACAATCCTCCTGCTTCAGTCTCCCAAGCACTGGGATCACAGGCATGTGCCACCATGCGTGGTTTCTTTTCGATTTCTTGAGTTGGGTCCTTATTTTCAAAACTCTGTAGGGTTATGAATTCTTAATAGATAAAACTGGTTAATTTCTTAGCATTTGATGCAGTGTTAATTTCTTTAATGTGATAATTTCTTTAATTTAAGAAACAGTTTAATATCTTTTGCTTAGCATTTCTTTTTTGGGGGGAGGCTTTTAGTTGTTAATATCAGGCTGTTGTTGTCACTGTCAGCCTTGTACTAACACAATGTGACCTGTGATCATTTCTACTTTTAAGCTTTTGTTTCCCTTTTTGGTTTAGTATGTGACCGATTTTTAACAGGGCTTTAGAAGCATCATAATTATACCTTCTGTTAGGTGCAAATTTCTGTAAGACTAGGTCAACTAAATTACTCAAAAAAAAAAATTTTTTTTTAAATTCATTTTGTTGTTGCACGGGTTCACTACGCAGTTTGGACTCAGTGATCCTTCTGCTTTCTGCCTCCCCAGTGCTGGGATTACAGACATAAACCACTACGCGCCCGGTCTCTGGCCTGATGGCATGTGCTGCCGGGATCCAACCGTGGTCTCCCAGCTTGCCTAAGCAGGCGCTTCAGTCCACTAAGCTGTCTCCCCAACCCCCACAAAATTCTTTTTTCTTGAGATTTACTTTAAGGCTTTTCATTTAAAGTTTTTTTTGAGACAAGACTTTGTAGTCCTGGCTGGCATCAAACTCGTGACAATCCTCCTGCCTCAGCCTCTTTGGTGCTGCGATCACAGTCACGTGCCACCTCATCCAGCTTAAAGTTGCTTTCCTAAAAATTTTGCCCTAATCTTTTCTTCTTCTCCAAGTTCTTACTTTATATATTTTGATGCAATCTTATACTCTGGGGCCCATTTCCATCTAATCTAACGTTCCCTCTAAGATGTTTTAAGTCCTTTCTAGCTCTAAGACCCGGGATTCTATTTCTGGAACTGGAACTCAGAAGGAGGTGATGCTCTTGCCCTGACTGATACTCAGTTCGGCAAAAGCGCCACGCACGCGACTTGGCTTAACTGAAGGTTTGGGGTTTTGAGGCGGAGTGATCCTTGGGTGTCAGCACTCAGGTCACGGGTTTCTAGAAGTTCAATGTCCCAAGAGGGAAAAACATGATTTAGCCAGCGATTCCTTGAGAAATTTCTCTATCAAATCCGATCGATTCTGCCACCTTTAAAAACCAAAGCTATGCTTAACCAACATCCAAGAGAAAGTATACTGTGGTGAAAGGGTGCCAGAAACTTTGGGTTTATAGTTCTTACGCAGTCTCCATGTTCCCTCGCCAGGAAAAGCAATAGGATATTTACATTTCCTAGCCGGGCGTGGCGGCACATGCCTGTAATCCCGGCATTCCGGGGGCTGGGCAAGAGGATCGCCAGGATTTCTGGGCCAGATAGTGAGTGCAAGGTCAGCTGGAATTACAGATCGGGACCCTGTCTCAAAACAAAAACACAAAGCTAAACAACAATAAAAGCAAAACAACAAAGACAAAGGAGAAATTAGCTTTAATTCGTAAGGGCAAAGATGAAAAATGTCACCCAGACTTTGGTTCTGGAATCGAACCAACTCTAGAATTTGGTCCTCCTCTCCCTCAGCCCTCGAGACTGCAGGGGAGTCAAGGGGAGTCGGACTTTTCCTAGCTCCGGAAGGGCCAACCCAGGAGAGCCACACAAGCGGCCACTCATCCAACCCTGGGGTACTCCTTTCATCTCTTCGTACCTCGCCTTCCTCCGCTACGGCTTCTTTCAAGTCTGCTTCTCCGTCTCCATCAGTTTCCTCCGGGACTGCGTCTGTGTCTGCAGTCCCCGGGATCACAGGAGCAGAGGCCGTCTCATCGGACTCTCCTGCCTCTTCCCCTTTGTCGGTGGGCGACTCTCGGGCACCGTCCATCGCAGCCAGGACTGGAGAGAGGAGAGCGCCGCGCCCTCAGCCTGAGCTGCTGCCTGAACGCCACCCTAAGCCTTTAGCTTATTTCCTGTTTGTCGCGCCCTGATGACATCACCCCTATAGGTCCTCCGAGGGGTCATTTGGAAGCGCGCGAAAGCTTTCAGGGCTCTAAAGGCGCGTGTAAACCACTCGAGGTGTTCCGATTTTATAGTACTGGGGAGAAGAAAGGTTGGAAGTATGAGTCTTCCGCTGCAGGAAACCAGCATCTGTGAAGGGAAATAATTTTGTTTACCGAGTACATTTATTTCGCAAACACCCAGTAAGGGAGGTGCTCCGAGTCATCTCTCGAGAACTGATCCAATTTATTTCACTCGACAACTACTGACCGCTTATTTCCAGGCGGGAACAGTGCTACGTGGTTACCTGGAAACAAATACAGCTTCTACTTAATAACATGCTTTTTTTTTTTTGCGGGGCGACGCTTCAAAATCTTTTTTTTTTTTTTTTTTTGCTTTTGGTAAAGTTAATTTGGTTAATTTCATCAAAACTAAAATGACAAAGACGGTCTCTGCTTAGAAGGTCACCAGTTTAGAGGGGGAGGACTAAGTGCCGAGAATATTTGTATTTGATTTTTTTTCCCCTCTCTTTTCCTGTAGAGATAGGAGGGAGGGCGTTTTACTCATCTCTGTATCGCTAGATCTCCGCACAGATTACTTCATGTATGCAAGCTGCAAGAGCTGACAATGCAGGCGCGCGTTACCGTATTTCTCTTTTTGTTTCCACAATGACCGGATCGTTACCGTATTTCCAGTGCCATGAGCTCCCCAGGGCTTGAGGAAGGCGCGTCCAAGTGGGCCGGTTCGTTGCTTCTAGCTCTTCCATGGAGGCCTACTTGTGGCCGGGACTCTGGGCTTCCCTTAGGTGGGCGGGGACAGGACGAGGTGCACCTGCGCCGCTGCGCGTAGCCCCGCCCATCTAGGTGGGCGAGGGGCGGGGCAGGGGGCGCGGTGACGCGTGACGCCGATCGCGGAAGTGACGTGCTCGCGTGTGTGGAGGGGCAAGGCGGGGGGGAGGGGGGTGGTGTCCCCGGCCGGTTCGGGGGTGCGTTGCTCGGAGACGGAAAGTTTGGGAGCCAGAGCAGGCTCGGCTGTGGCCCTGGCGAGGGGTTCCGGGGGGCGGCGGCACTGGGGATGGGGAAGGAGCAGGAGCTGCTGGAGGCAGCCCGCACCGGGCACCTCCCGGCTGTGGAGAAGCTGCTGTCCGGGAAACGGCTCTCCTCGGGCTTCGGCGGCGGCGGCGGCGGCGGCTCCGGGGCCGGCGGCAGCGGTGGCTCCGGGGGCGGCGGCGGTCTCGGCTCCTCTAGTCATCCGCTCTCCAGCCTGCTCAGGTGGGTACGCCCGCGGCCCGGCCCCGCCTGGAAGCCCTGGTCCCCGCCCGTCGGCGGGGTCCCCGGAGAGGTCAGGGCGCCGTAGCTCGGCGGGTGGGATTGCGGGGTTCCCGGGGCGACGGCGCCTGGGGGTTCGTTCAGTCTCCCGGGCTGCGGCGGAGAATGGTGGGAGTGCCCAGGTGGCACCGTGCCGCATGGCACAGCCTCGCTGCACCCTCGCCTGCTACGGGGTGCAGGCTGTGGTTTATTACAAAAGCCACTTTAGATCAAATACACAGAGAAAATCTCGCTCATCTCCTGCAGAAACTCCCACGCTTTGCAGCGTCTCACTGCTCTTCTGGAAGGTATTCTGTCGGTTTCCTTCTGTTAGGACCTTGGAACCTTGCACCAGGCTCTGCAGGACGAGGCTTTTATTTATACTAAAATTGTAGATTTATGGCCCTCGAAGAGTTTGTCTTTAAGCTTCTCCGGGAAAACCTGAAATTGTCCTCTCACAGTCACCCTCGCTTCATTCATCTTAGTAGTAGATCCAGGATTCATCAGGGGGCTTCAAAGAAGTAAAGGTTTTAAAGACTTATTTAGGAGCCTAAGGGTGCTTTAAACTTTGCCGAGTTCTGTTAAAGTAAACACTTGAATCTGGGGTTTCAAGGCTTGAGGGGAAGAGATCGCTTTTGTGTAGCTTGGAAGGAGGTGTGGAAGCGCTTTGTGAGTGCGAGTAAAATGTGTTGGTTCAGCAGCGCTTTCATAGCCTGTTTTCTTTTCCTTCCTTGTTCAGAGGTTTTTAAAGAAGTGGAAGTTTATTTAGAAATGGCTTCGTTAGCTTTTGTTCCCTATTAGTTTATGTAACTTCAGTTTGTGTGAGCTTGGACCCAAGAAGCCCAAGGCTCTAACATTGTTATGTATTAAGCACAGCGTTCCAACCAAGATCTTTACTGAAAGATTTTAAAAAGCAACATAAAGAAAAGAACCTTCCCTAGGAAATTCCTTAAGGGAAGAAAAATACTGTACTAGTAAGCTGCTGTTTCTCCAGTTCCCCACTGGAACAGAACTTGGCTTGGGAGTTAACTCAACATTTGTTGAATAAAAATATCATTTGGAGAGAGCCATTTCTGAATAAACTGGCAGTGGTACTCCTGTGATTGTTGGCAGTTTAGAGTATGGAGACATCACCTTGGGGTGGAATGGAGGTCAGGGCCTCCACGGGGAGGGGTACAATGGGCTTGAAGAATACAAGGCTCTGGGTAGATGAAACGTGATGGGACTGTCCCAGGTGGGCACACCTTGCTCAGAGGTGCAGAAGCAAGGAGACTTGTTTGGTACATGTGGGTCCCCAGGAGAACTTGTTGCTGGGACCTTTGAGTAATAAATAAGAATGTATCAGTGCACTTGTGTGGGAGTGTCAAGTCTTTTTACTGTTCATGTTCCCAGTCTGTGCATTAGTGCCTGGGGACTTACAGGTGCTCGGTGTATGTACATTGGATGCATGTTTTTTTTTTTCCATTTATGTATTTGGTACAGGGTCTCACTATGCAGCTTGGACTTGTAGTGATCCACCTGTTTTCAGCCTCCCTAGCGCTGGGATTACAGGTGTGCGCCACCACACCTGGACTTGGTTGCAGGCTCAGTGTGCCCTGGGGTGGGGCTGGTGTGGCATGTGGAACTGGGGATTGAACCCTGGTCCCTGTGCTTGCCAAAGCAGGCAGGCACTTAGTCTGCTGAGCTATCTTGCTGGCCCTTGAATTGGGTTTTGAATCCTACCTGGATTCATTGAGTCTTTACAGTTCTGATGTTTGAGAAGCAAGGGAGAGACTCTGCAAGCCTGGAGATGGCTGTCTCTGATGATTTGCTGATGTAGCTTTTGGGGATTTGCCAGAGATACCTTAACCCTAGAATCCTCAAGTGGGAGGTTTTCACACGTCACCTGCCCTCCAGCACAGGTGAATTGATTCTTCATGTTCTCACTCCTCTCTCACTTGGAATCTCCACTGAGGGTTGGGGAGGTAAGCAAGGGCGGGAGTCTGGTGAGCAGTGTTTCCCTTTTGGGTCTCCTGTTGAAGTGCCCAGGCTCTTAAGATGTGAATGGTGGATGGTGTCTCCCATGCCCACAGCTAGAGTTGACTCCTGACTTGCTCTCTGTGTTTGTTGTGGAGGCTGCAGATGTTTAAGTGCTTCCCAGCCTCCCATCCCTGCGACTCCTGGGGGCAGGGAGGATCTTGGGGCACTAGTTTCATTAGGTATGTCATTAATTACAGCTGACTCTGGTTAAACCTGGTGAACGATCTCTGAGCAAATGAGACCAGACACTTAAATAGTTCCTTGGTCAGCATGTCCTCACCTTATAGGTTGGACATGCTAGGGGTGAGTCCCCTATTCCCCAGCTGCACTTTCTGCCAAGGACCTTGGGTTATTCAATGAAAGCTGTGCAATCAGAGCTTCAGATCTGGCCTTTGAATTAGCTGTTGGATGCCATTTCCATTAATGCTGCCAGCAGTGACCTAACGTGTCCAGCTATTCGTGGAGCTTGCAGCTGCCTGGGTGTAGATGTTTCCTGTCACCCGTGTTTGTCCATTCATGAATTTATGATTCCTTCCCATTGCACAAAGGCAGTGTGGATATGCTTAGGTGACACAGTGTCCCTTTCTCTTACACTGCTTGGTCTCAGCTCTTAGCCTCTTCGAGCCCTCTGATGTGCCTCGTGCATCCAGAGTTCTCAAGCTTCTATGTCTCGGGACCGCCTGACCTGTATGTGTAGAGCATCATCAAGGCGTCAAGGCTCATCTAACTTTCACAGTTGGGCTTTTTATTACGTACTATGTTAACATATAGTCATCCTTACCCGTTTCAGAATATGCCTGAGAGGCAGAAAGTTAGTTAAGAAGACTTCCACTCTAAAAAGAAAGAAAGAAAAAAATATATATATACACCATACCCTTCTGATGCTCACTTGTTTATATTATTCAGGCAGTATAATATTAGAATAAAAGCCATTTGTTCTGAAGTTAGGTGGTCTTAAATTCGTAATTCGGGGTCACAGGCTGCTTGACCTTGTAGAAGGTAACTCTGTGAGCTTCAAGTTGTGTATCTGTGAAATGGGCATAATACCACCTGCCTCACAGGTATTGTTTCAGCTAACAGACTTATCATGACTAACAGACTTATCACGATTCCTGGCACATTCTCAGTGCTTGGTGTTATCCTCATTTCATGCCATGGAGTTTTGCCAGGCTGCACCTGCTCTGTGGGGATTACCATGCCAGACACATTTCAAGTGGTGATCTTTCATGCTTGGCAATCTGTTTTCAAGCCATGGCAGATTAGAAACAGTAAATAAGGGAGGACCTGCTCAGGCAGGCATATTAATGCCATTCATTAACCAAATGCTCATCTATCATCGACTTTGTGCCGGGCCAAGTGATTGCTAGATGCCCTGCAAAATTTATCTCAAACCTAGCATATTGTAGGTTCTCTATATCAGAATCATCTCTTCTCCCAGTGTGACCTGTTCCCTTATAGAGTTCATGATAGTGTATATGTCTATTTGACAGATTGACCTCTGCTTAAAAAAGGATAAAATTCATCCCTCTCAGTCCTTAGAAGTTATCAACAGGGCTGGGGATAGAGCTAGTGGCACAGTGCCTGCCTGGCAAGTGCAAGGTCGGTGTTTGATTCAGTATCTAAAATTAAAAAAAAAAAAAGTTATCGACATGTTTTAGCCCTTCACATCTGAGTAGGCCCCAACATTTGTTGTAGTGTCTTAGTGCTACACTATATGTCCATTACAACTTTGAGCCACCAGAGATTAAATTACATTCAGTAATATAATGAAATTGTCAGTGAAAAGAGGAAAATACACATTTTTGTTTTCTACTGAAAATGATTCAAATATAAATTTTTGTTACTTAAAAGGAAAATAATAACTAGAAAGCATAGTTACCCCAAATGGTTAATCCTAGAGGTTCTAGATTGCAGGGATTATGCCTATGTGACATGGGCTCATTTTCCGACTGTTTAATAGGCGCCTGCCTGCAGTCTGTAGCTTGGGACCTTGCGACAGGCAAATGTTAAACTTTTTAACACTGGCGAATTTTAGCGGTAGGCATATAGTGGGCATTAAAATTCTCAGTGTATGGAGTTTGCTGTAGTTAGGGTTATGGGGAAGTTATTGCTTTCCAGGAAAGCAACTTCTGTTCAAGAATACAGTAAGATTTGGGTCACAAACTATGTCCAAAAGTCTGAAAGTAAAAAAAAAAAAAACAAAACAAAAAAAAACAAAACAAAAAACAAAAAAACAAAAACAACAAACTAAGAAAAGGAAATGTCAAAAAAAAAAAAAAAAAGGAAATGTCAGAATAAAAGCAATTATATAGTAGTTTAAAATTGAAGGGGCTGGTGAGATGGCTCAGTGGTCTAAAGCACCTACTTAGAACAAGCTTAGCAAAAACAAAGGGACCGCGGTTCAATCCCCCAGCACCACATGCCAGCC